CCCGCCTCCCCCAGAGAGATTTATTTTTGCTGGAAGTGGTACCTCGCTGTTTAAAATATAAGTTAGCGCCGAGCGAGAGAGGGCGCGGGGATTCGCTGGGACCTGGAGGAGCCGGCAGCACGAACTGGGGCACGGAGAAAGTACAGACAGCTTTTAGCACATCGTTACAAAAACCAAATGGCTGATGAGCCTGGGTTCATCTGGGGTTTCTGCGGGGCCGCATTGTGCTGCAGAGCCCGGAGGAGAGGAAGGGAGGCGAGGAAACAGCTGGAGCCGCGCGGGGAGGTCGGGCAGCTGCCACCCTCCCCTTGCTCCTGCCACCATCCCTTCCCGCCGCCTCGGTGGGGTGCGAAGCCCCATCGGACACACGGACGGTGTCGGTGCCAGGACCCGGGAAAGTTTCATTGTTCTTGCAAGCGAGCTCAGGCCTGTGATGCTGGTGGGGAGAACTTCCCATCTTCCCTGGAGCGAGGGACGGGCTGGAGCGGTGACCCTGCCGTTCAGCATCGGGGGCGAGTCCCCATGTGGGATTCACAGCCAGGCTGGACAGCGGAGGACTCAGCCCCGCCGTGCCACGGTCGCGCTGAGAGACCTCGCTGGAGCAAAAAGCCCTTCTCCTGCCTCGCCTCTGCTTTTGATGCCCCAGTGCAGCTCGTGGCCACGGGTGACCCCCGGACAGAGCCGTGGCCAGGCAGGCAGCAAGGTCAGGGCCAGGATAAACCTATTCCCGGAGCAGAGCCGCTGGCTGCTGCGGGAGGCAGGCGAAGGGGATTGTCTCCAAGCTTTAATTCCTGCCCCCGATGGCTACGCGGGTCGCTGGGTGCCCTCCCGGTGTGCGCCCGGTGCTGGGGGCAGCGAGGGGGCTCGGTGGCCGTGCCGGATGCAGGGCTTTTGCTCGGCGAAGGGCTCCAGGTGCCTTCTGCGGCTGCTGGTCCTCACGGGAGATATTGTTCGATGACAGATGCTGCTGTCAGCAAGAATCCAGAAAAAAAGAAAGGAAGAAAGAAAGAGCCTCTGCCGAGAAAGCCGGGGGGAAGCCACCTCCTCTGCCCTGTCCTGACCAAACCAGGTTCTCCATCAGCGCCAGACTGGGGAGGACCTGGGGACAAACGGACGGGGTGGAAGCCAAGAGCTGTAATTAGCCCAGAGTCCCTGCAGCCACCAACCGCTGTCAGTGCACCATTTTAATTAGGAAAACAAGGGGGAAAAAAAAGGGGAAGAAAAGAAAAAGGAAGATCCCAAGAGAGGCTTTTCTTTTCTTCTCTCTTTTGCTGGCGGTTTTGCCGTGCCTGCTGAGAGCGGGAGCAGCCGGAGGGCACCGGCTAATCCTGCCTCGCAGGTCTGGGCCACGGCTTAGGGCAGGAATCTCTGGTATTCGGGAGCACGGGGACAACGGCGCACTCGAAGCTGCAAAGTGGCTCCCGGGGCCTCTTGCTCCGCGGGCTGTTCCTGGGGGGCTGGGAGGCGTTTTGCATTGCTTCCCGCTCTCGCCGCGTGGCGATGCACGCGTGCGGGTCTGCCCATCGCCCTCCTGCCTCGCCCTGTACCTGGGCCGAGTTGCACAAGGACGGAGGCAAACGTGGCCAAGCCCCTGCCTGGAGCTGCTGGGGATAAGCTCAGCTTTGGGTGGGTGCTGGGTGCATCCCACTTCTGTTGATGCTCGGGTCCCTCCAAATCCCAGCCCTGGTCCTGCTCTCCGCATGGGGCAAATCCCAGTGTGGTGGTTTTGCACGGGGAAGGTCACACGTGGGCTGGGGGCACCAGCAAGTGGCATCCCCAGAGGCCACCGCTGCTGGGGCAAGCCCCGGCCCGAACTGCAGCAGGCAGGGATGCTCCTGGGCCGTGCTCCCCAGCAGCCCCCCACGGTGAGGATGTGGCCCTGGGGGGGCTGCCAGAGCCTGGGAACGGCTGCCCACGGCAGTAAAACCGGCTGAGATGGCATCACAGGGCAGCTCTGCAGCCGGGCAAGCCAGACGGGCCAGGAAAATCCAGCCTCACAAGTCCTGAGCCATGGGAAAGCGCCAGGGCCATGGGGCGCTGGGGCCGGTGACTCAGCCCCGGCTGCTCCGGGACCGGCTCCGTGGCCCAGGGGCTTCAGCCCTGTTTTCCAGCCGGGAAACCGTCTCTGGTTTTCCCATTGGGGGTGCAGCGGGGAGGATCCCCCCTTTCTTATTTTTGAGCCCCCACGAGCATCATGCCAAACTTTGGGAGTTG